GGGCACTTTTCAAAGACTTGGATATAAAAAGGAAACAGTACTGCTATTACCAATTGAACTAAGTTGACTATTTTTCTGAAGATTTGGAGGTTACTTCAGGGACTGGCCCAACCCCAGGTTTGTCATCATAAACCTGAGATACTATTGTCAGGAAAAATCCTTACTCACTGAAGATTGGCGTGATGGGGATTATAGAACATAGAGCTGAGTAGGCGTAAAAAGCTTTCTCACCAGAGGCCCTGTTTCTCTAGCCTGGAACTGGACGAGCAGTGCAGATTTGATTTTGTGGCTGTCTATGATGGCTCCTCTACCTCCTCTGGGCTGCTGGGACAAGTGTGTGGCCGTGTGAAGCCCACCTTCGAATCCTCGTCAGATTCGCTGACCGTCGTGCTGTCTACCGATTATGCCAACTCCTACCGGGGCTTTTCTGCCTCCTACACATCAATTTATGCAGAAAACATCAACACAAGTAAGTCACTTTCCTCCGCTATTTCGAGCTCTCTGGAGATTGTGTATGTAGAAACGACTCCTTAGTTTTTAGCCAATAGGTGGCTGTCCCTAGGAGCCAGCCTGTCACATATACTTTGGAACATACTCATAGTCAGAAGCTTGAGTTCTGTGCATTGCTTAATACAAAAGGAAATGAATGATTTTATTGACCTGAAAAAGATTTGTGCAGAAAATTCTCTTTCCCTTAATGCCTTTTGTAAAGGACAATGAAAAATATTAGATTTGCCGATTCCAGCTGCAAATAAGGTCCCAGTGAATATTGTAAAGCAGAGAATCACTTGCTTTGCTATCTCAGGCTTCTGAGTACAGTTTAGGGCAAAATAGGTTTTGAGTTTTTATATATTTTTCTGCACACATAGCTTTTTAAGATCCAAAGTTCCTAGTTGATAATCCTTTTTTTTGTTTGTTTTTGAACAGCATCTTTAACTTGCTCCTCTGACAAGATGAGAGTTATCATCAGTAAATCCTACCTGGAATCGTTTAATTACAATGAGGTTAACTTACAATTACAACTAAATGACCCAACTTGTAGACCCAAAGTATCAAATGTTGTGGAATTTTCTATTCCTCTTGATGGATGTGGCACAATCAAAAAGGTAACGTGAAACATTGATAGCTGGGTCTTGTCAGGTACCAAAGGCATGTTTTTGGGTAATGCTGACAGTATAATGTTTGCTGGCTGCTTTAACGAACAACTTCTAAACCTTAGTGGTTTAACACATGGTAAGTGTGTGTGGACATATAAGTGCACACACTGTTTTACACACAAATGCCAAATTACTGCATTCATTTTCAGGGTAACTAGAGGGTGGTTATCTTTCCCAGAAGGTAAAGAACTCTGACTACTCTCTGGAGAGAGTTTGAACATCTATGCGCTGTGGGTTGAATAGCCTACTACAGGCATAGAAAATGTTAACATCTCATATGTAGCACAAACCTAGCTGTATTTTTATGATCTTCTTTTCCCTGTAAAGACAGAATGTAAAAGCATTATCCTTCTTTTAAACATAAAGGACATAAGTTTGTGATTTGTTCTACATTTTCTAGAACTTCAAGATCTCAAACTGTTTTTAACCTGTGGGACCCCTTTAGGATACACGCCCTAAACTTTTTACTTAGGTCGTTAAACAACAGGAATTGATAAGGATAGAAGTAAATTATGGATTTTTGGCCCAAATGAACATCCGGGCTATTACAATGTGAATCTCTAGGGACGGCAGCCTGGGGAGGACCTATGCAGGACACCTGTCTGTCTGCACACATTTGGGGAACTGCCCAGTTAGCCACACTAAGTGCTGCTTACAGAAGGCAAAACATTACTGAGTCTAAAGTCCTTATAAGGCTAGAAATTGACATTCAAATTGTTTTTAATGTAACTGAAAATATTCTGTCCAATTCTCCAAGTCTTTCAAACCTGGCTGTATCTGTGGTCTCACAGTTTTTCTTCCTGCCAAGAATATTTCTTAAATAAAACACATTTAAGGTTGATAGTATTCTGACATGAAAGCCGTTAGCTTGTGATTTAAGAAAATATGTCTCTCCCTGCAAATGGTGTTCACATCTCTGCTCTAGAATATTACTGGACTTTAAAATACAATGTTTGAATTCCATCTTGTTCTCCAGGTAGAAGAGCATTCAATTACTTACACCAATATAATCACCCTCACCACGGCCCCATCTTCTGATGTGATCACCCGTCAGAAACACCTCCAGATTATTGTGAAGTGTGAAATGGAACACAATTCCACCGTGGAGATGATGTACATAACAGAAGATGACGTAATACAAAATCAAAATGCCCTTGGCAAATATAACACAAGCATGGCTCTTTATGAATCCGATTCATTTGAAAAGTCTATACTAGAGTCACCATATTATGTGGATTTGAACCAGACTCTTTTTGTTCAAGTCAGTCTACACACCTCAGATCCGAATTTGGTGGTGTTTCTGGATACCTGCAGTGCCTCTCCCACGTCTGACTTCGCACCTCCAAACTATGACTTAATCAGGAATGGGTATGTACTGATAGAGGATATTCTTTTTCTGAGGATTAGTCATGACTTTAACGAAGCAATATTTTGTGTGTATATGCATATAATTAATATGTATATATTTCTAGCACTACTACCGTGGAATTTAATAAAATTTAATCATTTTATAAAATACTGTTACTGTGCACTAGTTACAAGTAACATAAGTGAAAACATTTCTGTCTGTAGCCATAGTCCATACACACTAGAATTTTAAGTGCATTTACAACATTTTTGCTGGTAGAAACAAATTTATTTTTGGGTAAGAAGGCTTTCATTGCGTTTTTGCTGTTTTTCACATTTTCAATATGAAAATTTTCAAGTATTTTCAATAACGCCCCAGAAGATTATTTCATCTGTCTTTAGAACATAAACATAATGTAATTAGGAAAGCATATATGGCATTCTTAAAAAAAAAAAGTAAAGTTCTTTTTTGAAAGTTTTCCCTTTTTTTTTTTCTATAAGCCAAAGGTCTTGAATTACATCGACCATACTGACACATTCATAGCAAGTATGTAAAGTAAGGTGTTTTTAGTTCTAATACGTCAGAATTGACTTTCTAATGAATTCACATGGGCTCGGAATTTTAGAGCTGGAGGGAACTTTATCTTACCCAGAAATCAGGTGCATAGTCATAGTCAGTGTAGTCTGAGCTAAAAACATTGTCTTTCTAGAGAAGTTTGTGGATCCACAAATTAGACAGTTCAAAGAAAATTTTATATCATCTCTTTTTAAAACTGAAAAGGCTGAACTTCTGTGAACTTTCTAAAAGTGTCATAAATTTGGTTCCAGATGTAATCGAGATGAGACTTGTGAGGTGTATCCCTTATCTGGACACTATGGAAGGTTCCAGTTTAATGCCTTTAAATTCTTGAGAAGTCTGGGCTCCGTGTATCTACAGTGTAAGGTTCTCATATGTGACAGTGGAGACCCTCAGTCTCGTTGCAACCAAGGCTGTGTCTCTAGAAGGAAACGAGACATTTCTTCATACAAATGGAAGACGGATGCCATCCTAGGACCCATTCGTCTGAGAAGGGATCGAAGTGCAAGTGGAAATTCCGGTAAGAAAAAAGCTGTTTCGTGATCTAGGAATGCTACTTAGCTCAAAAAATGCTGCTCAAACGTACTTGTCACCCTTCTTAAGCAGGTACCGTTTTGGGATTTATGATAGTTTCAGCAAAGCCCTAAATAAGGTAGGAGTTTTAAGCACAGAAGATTAATTTATAGTTTCCTTAGCTGATAATATGTAAACGATGGACCATTTAAGCATATTATAGACTGATAATTTACCATTATTCATAGGGCTTTTGAGTATAAATGTAACGGTCTCACATCTAAACACAACCCTTTCCCTTAGCTTCCTGACTCCTTATTACAGACACTATGGTAGATAAGAAAATCAAAAGCAATGTATTTTAACTCCTAAATGAGTAAAATAAGATGAACTAGCATCCACACTATCACCTATTTGGAAGAAAAGCTATTTTTTGGTAAAAAAACAGAGAAAATAATATATTTTCAAGACAGCCCTGCTTGTTTTTAAAGGATTGAAACCTGAGCTCAGCTGGGTTGCATGGGAAAGAGGTAATGATAAATACTCAAGGGTAATCCATCATTAAATGGTTTAGGATATGCCATAATTAAATGAAAACTGCTTATTAGAATTTATCTTATGTGAAAATGACCCTGGCATAAAAGAATTCTATGATCTCTGTCTTTATTATTATCATTTAAATAGACTATAAAGGAGTATGATTCTGGTTTGTCCAAAATATTTCTATGACAAAGACAAGAAAAGTATGCAAACAAAAATGAAATTCAGTAATTTTCATAAATACATTCACTGAAAAGATGCTGCACCTATGATTGTTAGTTTGGAAATTAGTGAATGAAAGTTATTATAAAAGTAATGTACATGTTAGAAAAATGTCTTTTTTGTGTTCCAAGGGAAGAAACTAATTGCTTCTCTATTCATTCACATATTTGATAACAATTCCTGTATGTTGTGTTGGCATTATATATTCTACATTAATTGATGTGTGAAATTCATAGGTTATGTAGAGATATAAATGTATGAACATTTTGTAATGCAAAGTAATACGTTTCTTTAAATTACCTTTATCTTGTCTCCAATTATAGGATTTCAGTATCAAACACACGGGGACGAAACTCAGAATCAATCTTTCAACAGCCTGCACCTATTTTCATTCATGGTTCTCGCTCTGAATGTTGTGATTGTGGCTGTGGTCATCGTGAGGCATTTTGTGAATCAGAGAACAGACTACAAATACCAGAAGCTACAGGATTATTAACTAAAGGTTTCAGCCTTAAGGGAGACACATCCCTCCGGAGTACAGAAGGAAACACTACAAGACTACATGCATAGGGAATAAATTAGGGAGGGCCTCATCAGAGTGACATACAGGCCCTCCTGTCATTGTGGTCATGGTGTGTTTCCTTGCAGGATGATTGACATGAACAAGCATTGTACGTTAGCTCTCATGTTACAAAAAAACTAAAGCCACCAAAATATTAAACAAATTAAAAAATGCATTGTTTATGAAAAAGAATGTTAAGTAAACATTTGGTGATAAGAAAAGGGTTATTTTTACTTAAGAAAAGTAGTCTTCAGCATTAGATGTATTTATTTTCTAGATGCAGAAAATGCTACCTTTTGAAGCACATACAACAGTTCTAATTACTGAAACTAAAGTGACAGCGAGAACTGTCATCTCCTTGGTTCATAGACCTTACTGCGTAAGTGCAATCTCGGCACATCACACCTCAAACATCTAGAAAAGGGTGTTGGAATGAAGAACCTGACTATAAAAGGAGGGATGTCTGTATAGCTTCTGGATTAATGAGATAAAACAGCTATTCTCCTCCCATTTACCATTAAACCCTAAAGCCAAAATAGTCCTATCAAGGAGTAGTCTGGTTTACACTTTCCCATCTACTGCGGCTGAGCAAATATTACTAAAGACCTCAATGTGAACTAATTGTGCATGTGCCTCACCTCATATCTAATTCTTTATCTTAGATGAACAACACAGCTCCACCTTCTCACCCAACAACACACACATTTCAGGCTCTAATGTGTCCAAACAGGCACCCACATTCCCGAATGCCAACCATGCACGTGTACAGGATGCTGGGGGAGGTACACAGCGGATACACTCGCATCTCTACCCCCACACAACAGGTCCTTAGGGGCCTGATTGATTTCCAGCTGCAAATCAGAACAGATCTCCCCCATTTCTTTTTAATATTTCCATGAACAGCTTCCAAGTAGGCCACATGGTTGAGCCTCCTCTGCGTTCATCCGTGTAACCTAAATGGAACTACTGCCAAGTTCTTTTCTAACTGAATGTGAAAATACTTAAGAACTTAATTAGAATGGGCAAATCAAATGAAGCGCTTAAAAAGAGCACTTAAAAACTGTCCGGTCACGGCTCCATCAGCCATCCCTCCGTTAGGAACATCTGCTGGTAGCTGGACGTGGGTACTCAGAGGTGCATCAGGTGTGGTATTGCAAGCCCAAGAAAACTGTCAAATACTGTGACTCCCTAGAGAGTGTGTAGGATTGTATCATCACAAATCAAAAAGTCCTTTGTCGTGGTGCCATTGAGCTATACCAATGCATTATCAGGATGTAGCAATAATATATAATGTCATCAAGTTTTTTTCTTTAGGAAAAACTACAGTGAAGTGATTGAAGGTCCTGGATCTGTAGTTGGTGGCCTGGGTTTTAGTTCTTCCGCTTACCTGGTGGGTTACCTGGGCCAGGTCACCTTTGGCCTTGATCTCCACCATTTAAAATAGGGATGGTAACAGCTGCCCACCCCCTGGGAGTGTTGCAAAGATAAAATGAGAGAGAGTTGCAGTCAGGGGTTATCTGTGGTCCACTTACCACCAATGATGAGTCCCTGTGGCCAGCACCTGAGTCCCATTTTAGAATCCGCTTCCTCCAACCACACCTGATACTGACTGACATGGGCTGGTTTCCTGGGAAACCACCTCTGACATAGAGGTTTGTGTACAGAAGGATTCCTGGGGAGTGCACTCAGGATAAACCCTGTGTGAGGGGCGAGGGAAACGGGACTGGGCAGGGGAGTCAGTGAAGTGCGAAGCAGTCGTGGCCAAAGGTCTAGCCAATTCCTGGGGAGTCCTGGGCTGGGCTGGCCTTTCAGAGGTGTCCTCCTGCCCCCCAGGTACGGTGCACAGACCTTTATACGCCTCTATTGACCAGTCATTGGTTGAAGGCTGTGAACCCGGACAAGGCAGCTGCCTTGAGCTGAGGGAAATTCCTGAAGAGCAGTGGAGCTGAGTCATCAGCCATCAACACTACCAGCAGCTTGAAGAACGAGTGACTTCACCCGAGAGAGACCTGGGTGTCAGACCAGAGCGGTCACTACGCTCACTTCTTAAAAGAGCAGGGTTTTCAGAGTGTCTCGCAGAGTAAAGTCTATCTCTACACTGTGCTCCAGAGACATGCTTAACAAAGTGTTTTAGAAAGGTTAAAATAAAGAAAGGGCAACAGAACACCAGTGTCGGGAAAGGGCGGTGCTGACTCGGGTATTAGATGGCCATCAGCTGTCACCAGTTGGCCATTAGCTACTATTTTGCATATAAATGCTGTTGGCTGCGTTAGCAAGTGCAGGTGTTGTGGATGGTATAGAGCCTGCGGATCCTACTTCCTGTGTCTCCAGGCAGCCAGCCAGACTGTGGCGCAGGAAGGCCCCTTATTGGGGTGTTGATGGATGTTTGCTTCTCGTGTCTCAACCAGCCGTCATTGAGAATATAATATAGTGGCATGAACCCCCTATCTGTGGCTCCGTTGTGGTTCCTTTTCGACCTCACCGAATCCTGCATTCATCTGCCTGGAGCTGAGCCCCAGCATGACAACCAGCATGTGCAAACCAGCTGGGGAGCTTTACCTCATTACTGCTGAGCAGGGTGGAGCCAGGCTACTCACCTGGCCTCTGCTGCTCCCCCTCCCAGGAAGGTGGAGTCACCTTGTTATTTCCTGGGGGGGGGG